CCGCTGTTTCCGGCACCATTCCTCCAAAATCGGGCGTCACAGTTCTACACATAGCTGCTCGACCGCCTATCACATTCTATCTTATCCGTAACTCATAACTATACCAGAATCCGAAGAGCGGCTCAGCAAAATTGTCTCTAAATTACACTTCAACCCAGATGTTGCGGCCATATTATCATCTATATCTTCTGCTCAAATGTATTTCGATATCAGATGGCTGACGGGAGAGACAACCGACTCACCCATTGTGAGTCGTCACAGTTTCTCAGACGGATCACGAACTGCTGCGACTTGGATCAAATCAAAGTTCCAAGACTATGGAGCCACCTGTGAATATATGGAATTCCTTGATGGATTTGCGCCCAACGTCATTTGCAAGTACGCTGCGCAACAACCTGAGGTCCTAGATGTTCAAAGGAACAACGGCACATCTCCAAGAATAATTATTAGTGCGCATTATGATTCTCGTGGATCATTTGGAAGGTCAGTGGTACTCAATATATTTGCTCTTTGTCTTTATTGATGAGGACAATAGCACAAGGGCTCCAGGGGCCGATGACGATGGGAGCGGTGTAGTTCAGCTTCTAGCAATAGCACGAGCTATCCAAAAACGGGCAGTCAAATTCAATACAGACGTAGAACTCGTGACCTTTGCGGGGGAAGAACAAGGTCTCTTGGGAAGTCACGCTTATGCCAGTGAGTGTTTATTCATGGACACAAGTAGATTCTTATATGGGTATGTGCAGAGAAATTGTATGAGGAAGGGGCAGATATAGTGCTAATGATCCAGGCCGACATGTTGGCGTATCACTCTGCCGATGAACCAATGCAGCTTGGACTCCCTGAGTGGTTCGTAAAGTCGTTTCATCTCAATTAAGACTTAAAATCTCGTATAGGATTGGAAGTCCAGTTGCTGCTGCGCTTCTTTCGAATATATCATCCATATATGTTCCCGATTTGACGGTCGGAACGACTTCAGCTTGCTGCAGTGATCACCAATCATTCTGGCAATACGGTGAGTAATCGCCATTGTCCCTTTGCTCTCAGCTAACCTGGATAGGTTTTACCGCTACCCAAGTCTTTGAACGAGCCGGCTGGATCATAGATCCTCATTATCACAGCTCTGGAGACCTCAGCAATCGCACCAATTACGATCTGGATCAAGTTCAGTCCATCGCGAAGGTTACGGTAAGCCAATTTCTTTCTCTGCATTCCAAGCTGAACAATACCCTAGTTTGCCTCAGTACTACACACCGCAGGATTTACTTTTGATGCATAAATAGACATGTTTCTAT